TGATATAGAATCATTAATTACGTATACAAACCTTAAAAAAAACGTATCATTTCCTTATTTCGATTTCTTATAGGGATGATGTAGCAATTGATTTCAAATTTACAAATTGTTGTAATATAATTGCAACATATATAGGTTTAAACAAATTACAACAGTTCTCATCTTTAAACTAGAATATTAATTCCTAATATATAATAGCTATGACTACAGTTTTAGCTAAAGAATCTAGCAGTTTGTAATTTATTAGTCATTTACCTCTGAAGTTTATGATATAAATTTATTAACAATAAGCTTATTATTTATTACGTATCAGTTTTATTTCATTATGAATAAGAATTTACTATAAAGTTTCATGATATAATAAACCTAATTTTCTGGATAATAAATAATGTTGCAAATTAGTGAATCTGGATATTCCATTGCAGTGGTAGAGAAGAAAAAATAATTGTTAGTAAAAATATAATATTTGTAGTTACTGATCACGATTTTATACAATTAGATAATATACCTAGTATAATGATGATAAATGATATACCAAAATTGATAAATAGTGATTTCTATGTAGAAAAAGTACGTATTAAATTAATGGATCCAATCTTTTAACTTTCATTATCTCTTCAGTATATAACAGAATTCTATCATGTACTTCTTAATAAAAATCTTATTAATAAGCCTATTCTATATCTCTACACTGATGATAGACTAGATCATCATTATACATATACTCATATTTAACTTTTATATATTTGTCTTTTGACCTTGATTATTTGGTAGCTATTTGAACTTCACCACAGTATTCATAAAAGAATTCTGTTAAACATATTATATTTATTCTGAATCTGAGACTACAAAATGTTAGACTAATGTAAATTATGATGAATAATTATTCTGAAATCTAATGAATAAATATAACATATAAATGAAATCTGTAAATTTGCTAAGAAGAATCCTAACTTGAAGAAGGATTTAGTTGAAAATCTTTAATTTTCAATTCATTTAGTTCGTAATGTATTTATTCATTAAACTTTCAAAGATGAATACTTTGAAACATTTGAAATATTTAACGTAACAACAGATACAAAATGAAAAGATTCTGAAAATAATTTAACATGTAAATAAAAATATTATGTGTAAAGATTGTACAGCAGATCATATAAGATAAAGGGTGAGCAAAATGCTGATCAACTGCAAAAAAATAACTTAAATAACATATCTTTATTAGACATGTATACAAGAATTTTTGAACTACTGTTGCAAATTAAGGCATTATTTTTTTTAATCAAAAATGCAATAAACTAACCTGCACTATTTATTATCTTCTTCATTATTCATCAGAAAATTTTAACAGTTGCATCATCTTTTAAACCCAGTATCTGATGAAGACTTGTATTATAAGTTATTTGAAGAGTTATTCAATACATAAATAATAGAAGATTATATATAACATCGACTCCAGGTTCAGCTTTTTTTTTTTCTAAATTGGAGGAATGATCGACAATGTAACACAATCCTTCCTTCTTTGTGCAGATGTTCGATTCCGGCCAAAATTAAAATAATGCGGGCTGGAAGTGGTATTTGTAACTCGAGTACTTTTCACTCCCAGTGTTACGTGATCATAATATAAACATCACTCATCTTTTCGTATTACCTTTTTTTTTCAGTCCGATCTAGAAAAAAAACTTTTATTAAAATGAGTTAAGAATAGATAACAGATTGTATTTTGTTAAATAGAAATGATATAATAACGCTCTAACCTTTTACTTGTTCACTTCTTAGATATAGACGATTATTTCAAAATTATTGACAATGAAGAGTGTACTTATGATAATTTTTTGAAAAAGTTCCGGCACGTCATCCTGGATTCTCCCCCTTATACGGAGGATTGGACAGGTATAGATGGAATTTGGTACAGAAAATATTCTGAACTTGCTAAAAAAGCAGGCAAACAAGTAAGTGAATTTTTTCACTAAAAAAAAAAATAGGAGGGCACCACCGAGTCGTTCTATATGGCGTTTCGCACGTATATTTTACGTTTTAGTGGGTTTGATGATTCTTCGTTGCCATGTGTGCGCTCCTGAGTCGTTCTATATGGCGTTTCGCACGTATATTTTACGTTTTAGTGGGTTAGATGATTCTTCGTTGCCATGTGTGCGCTCCTGAGTCGTTCTATATGGCGTTTCGCACGTATATTTTACGATTTAGTGGGTTTGATGATTCTTCGTTGCCCAAGTGATGAGTGTGTGCGCTCCTGAGTCGTTCTATATGGCGTTTCGCACGTATATTTTACGATTTAGTGGGTTAGATGATTCTTCATTGCTTCCTCATTGCGATCTACTAAAATTTTTCTTTCGTTAAATATGTTAGAAATTTGTCAATATTTATTACACTCTGCCTTTTTTTGCTTTGCTTCCTTCTTGTACAGGAATATCCACATACACAAACAAAATACTTTTTTGAGGAAATTATCATGGAACGAAATAAGGTTGGCACGCTTTGTAAATCTCTAATCACTCAATATTAATAGAGAACTATAGACACGTTTGCGCAATCATTGTAAAAAAAAATTTTTTTTTTTGATACTAATTATATAGAGAACTGTTCAAAGAAATTACATAAATTCCAGTATAGATATATTGGACAAATCAAGGGAAATTGTTGTAAATCAACTAATTGTAGATCTATCTGAAGCAGTACCAAGTAATGAAAAAAGACCCCATGAAGATGAAATGGAAAATTCCTCTAAGAAGGTGAACAACAACAGAAATTTGCAACTAATTACTATTCTTTTGTATTAATAATTGTCATTTGAAACTTTTTTTTCTTTAATTTAGTCAAAATCAATTATTGATAATAAATTTGAAGTATTTGTTTCTGAACAAAAGGATTTTTATGTTAACAAATCGCATGACAAAAAGGAATTTGGTAATTGTGATATAATTGATTTAACTATTGATGAAGAAGAAGAAAATGGAGAAATATTTTTTGATATTACTGAACTGTCATTAATGCAAGAAAAGGTCCAAAAAGCAATTGAAAACAATACTGACGAATTGAAAATTAAATTACTAAGATGGCAGCAACTTATGCTTAAAAAATTAGATTCTGGTACAAATTTTCCGACAAGTCAAAATATTCATAAATTGCTTGCTGCTTCATCAGTTTTTTATTTCCAACAAAATGCTGAGCATACATATATTGATTGTTTAACACCTTATGAAATTGCTGAAATAAAGTCACTTGTCAACCCACACTTTGAACATGTTGGATTTTCAGATGATATTAAGTTGTTTGTGAAGGAAAACAAAAAGGTTTGGAATTAAATTATACATATGTGGGAGGCGGTCAGTAGAAAAGGGAAATCCAAAATTTTTGTTAATTTTTATCATTAAGCTAAATTTGTGCACATGACCGAGATCAGCCAAGTGATACCTCCCATATATTGATCATATTATTATTTTTTTTTTCACAAATATTTATCTCTGTAGAAATTTCGACGGGATGCTCTTGAAGAACTTGAAAAATATATCAAGGAATGTTCAATAAGTCAAAATGGATATATAAATAAAACTTTTTTTAGATTACTTGAAGAGTATGTATTATGGAATCCCTTAATTGATATGAAAAAGTTAAACGAAGCAAATTATATTGTGGATTACTTGGGACCTATTTTTAATAAAACTATACATTATTTCAATTATGTTAATACTCATTCATGGTATGATATATTGATTTTTGTATATTTTCAGTTAATTTTCAAAGGAATTGATTCATTATGATTTATTTTTTATAGGATTAGTATAGAATCTAAAGCTTCCAAATTACGTAAAAGTCTTGCTGATAGTAGAATTCCAGACTATATGCTCAAAAATCAAAAAAATACTTGTTCATCTGTTTTTTTAGAAGTAACAAGTCCTAAACGTGAAGATGAAGAAAAAAAAATTAATTGTGATATTTACAGGGCTTCAATACATGCTAAGGATGCTATTGATTATGATATTAAGAAATTTAATATTCAACCATCATCTGGGAAAAAACTAGCAATTTTTATAAACGGGTATAAAATGGTAGTATGTGTAATGAAACTTCAGTATCCAGGAATTTATCTAATGGTTGAAGTGGCCAATTGTATAATCTCAAATTCTGTTCGTGAATTAGAATCAATCATGAAACTTCATCAGACTTTGATGAGTATCAGGGTAAATTTTTTCCTTTTTATTGTTATATTTAATTTTAAAAAAAAGTTATTGATTGTAAAGTAAAACTTACAGGAAAATGCAATAGATTATCTGGATGAAGCTGGATATATATAATACACCAATTAGAACAAATCATTTTGATTGGATAAATCTAACTGCAACTACACTAAATAAAAGTTCCTTGAAAAAATTGTTAAATTGCATAACTTGCGTCAATAACAATATTAATATAATTCGTAACTAGCAAAGTGATAAATAAAACCTTACAATTTTAAAAAGAATATCTTTTAAATTTTTTTGATTTTCAGTAATTAGAGGTAATTTTTGTTTTTAAAATATAATTATAGTTAAATTTATAGTATTTGTTAATAGGATTGCAATTATTAATATTTGGAAAGCGGGAACCATTGTGTGTTCAGAGCTATCTTTGTTTAACCTGTTTCTTTGCAATAAGGTATATATCTGAAATATCACATGATTTAATTATATACAAAAATCTAATAAATTTAGCCATATGCGACCTTGCTCAATATCGCTCCGTTTATTATGAAACACCTACCATTCGACTCAGTATGATAAGATAAATCCAATAATCTAAAGTTCATTGATTCTTGATCAGCTGATCTTGCAAAATATGCGATTTAATATTTGGTTGAACTTATAATTCAATAAATTCAACTTAAAAGGGTTCAGATTTCAAATTACAATCGTGATTGTCGCAAGAATAGCTGATTCATCTATCTTTAGCTCATTGGATTCGTCTAGTTAAGCTGAGTCAATAGTAGTTTTTTTAGATTTTACTATAACATAAATCATGTGATATAATAATTCTTTCATTTTGTTAATTTCAGCTTCATGTACAGTTATGTACCAACCTACTAAAGAATTAAGATAATCCTAATTCAAGCAACTTAACTTATAAATATATTTCATTAGAATCATCATGATGATCTATATCAAATATTTTAGAAATATTTCTGAATATTCTACTATTTTAACACAGATTATTATAATGATTTTAATAAGATAAGTCTCATTTTTATATGATCACTAGTTGATAAGTTATCATAGTTGAATTTGCTTAAATTAGAATTGTCTAATGTTAGTAATCATAATTTTATAATTCAGACTGGTATTAAAAATTTGATAAATTTGATTAGCAATTAAAATATTATATCATGAATTTTGTATTACAAAATGATTAAAATTAGATTTTATCAGATTTTAACTAGATTATACAAATTTTATTTCTATTGTGTAATATTACACAAAACCTTATTTTATGAATTCTATACAATTTTTTCATATATTTTACATTACATTAATTTAAATTTATGATTAATGTAAATAATTTAAAAAAATTTACTTTTTAGATATTAGGTAATTAGTTTCTTTTTGATAATATTTATAAAACTAAACTATAATGAAATTATATATATAACTTTATAGAAAAACTTTTATGTAATTAATTAATCAAATTATATAAATTTTGTAATTAATATTGTAATTTTTTATATACTATATATCATGTAATATGATCATTATACTATTATTTTATTAAACCATTAAATTTAATTTTATTTAAATATGTAAATAATAAGTTTATATATATTAAATTTTAAAATATATTAAAGTTTTTACATTTTTTATAAATTTTGATCTTTAAAAAAAATAAATTATGCTATTCAATAATCATTTTGAAGACAGTTTTAATTTTATTCTAATTTTAAAATTAAATACATAGATTTAATAATTTATTTTTATAATGATTTTTTATTAAAATATAATTTTAATAATTTATAATTTTATTTATTTTGTAATTTATATTATATAATAATAGCTTGATTTTTATCTAACAGTAAATTAGTAAATTAAATAAAAAAGTTAAATAAAATTTAGCTATTTATTAATTAAATATTATTAATTTTTTTTAAAATATCTAATTATAATTAATGTAAATAAAATCCTAAAAAATCCTAATTACACTCCCTACCCAAAAGTATAGGACCACCCTCGTGATTTACAAATCCATAATGATCACGTGATCTTGATGCAATATTTATTAATACGTGATTATCAAATGATCTTCACAAACCCTTTCTCTCACC